AAACGAGGTAGGGGGTAGACCGCGAAGATCTCAATAGACTGGGTGACGTGTGGAAACAGAGAGTAGGGGGTAGACCAGAAGAGCTCAATAGACTGGGTGACGTGTGGAAACAGAGAGTAGGGGTAGACCAGAAGAGCTCAATAGACTGGGTGACGTGTTGAAACAGAGAGTAGGGGTAGACTTGAAGAGCTCAATAGACTGGGTGACGTGTGGAAACAGAGGTAGGAGGTAGACCAGAAGAGCTCAATAGACTGGGTGACGTGTGGAAACAGAGAGTAAAGGGGTAGACCAGAAGAGCTCAATAGACTGGGTGACGTGTGAACACAGAGGTAGGAGGTAGACCAGAAGAGCTCAATAGACTGAGTGACGTGTGGAAACAGAGAGTAGGAGGTAGACCAGAAGAGCTCAATAGACTGGGTGACGTGTTGAAACAGAGAGTAGGGGTAGACCAGAAGAGCTCAATAGACTGGGTAACGTGTGAACACAGAGGTAGGAGGTAGACCAGAAGAGCTCAATAGACTGAGTGACGTGTGGAAACAGAGAGTAGGAGGTAGACCAGAAGAGCTCAATAGACTGGGTGACGTGTTGAAACAGAGAGTAGGGGTAGACCAGAAGAGCTCAATAGACTGGGTAACGTGTGAAACAGAGAGTAGGGGTAGACCAGAAGAGCTCAATAGACTGGGTGACGTGTTGAAACAGAGAGTAGGGGTAGACCAGAAGAGCTCAATAGACTGGGTGACGTGTGGAAACAGAGGTAGGAGGTAGACCAGAAGAGCTCAATAGACTGGGTGACGTGTGGAAACAGAGAGTAGGGGTAGACCAGAAGAGTCCAATAGACTGGGTGACGTGTGGAAACAGAGGTAGGGGGTAGACCAGAAGAGCTCAATAGACTGGGTGACGTGTGGAAACAGAGAGTAGGGGTAGACCAGAAGAGCTCAATAGACTGGGTGACGTGTTGAAACAGAGAGTAGGGGTAGACTAGAAGAGCTCAATAGACTGGGTGACGTGTTGAAACAGAGAGTAGGGGTAGACCAGAAGAGCTCAATAGACTGGGTGACGTGTTGAAACAGAGGTAGGAGGTAGACCAGAAGAGCTCAATAGACTGTGGAAACAGAGAGTTGGGGGCTGACTAGAAGAGCTCTGATTTTCAGTCGATATTTTGGATTGCTTTTGAATGTGTGTGAGGTTACGTGGCTACTGATATTCAATCCCCAGACATCAATTTACCGCTGATTTACAAAACCCAGCCCTCCATGTACGTAGCTGTTCAAGAAAGGGATTGTGGTTTGAGGATCAGAGTTACTTCCCATAATTTTAATACACTGGATTATTTAACTATGGTCTGTACTTTAACCTTGAGAAGTGCATCTCACATCATTTCAAGGTCATCTTAAAGATTATCAGATATTACTAGATATTATTTAGTCTACAGCAGGGTTTCTCAGGTATAAGGGGCCATGCCCCCGTAGCTATGGGCCTGCCCCTAGACAATTCTGTGGCCCCTACTCAACCCCCTAAGCCCTAGCCTACACTCATTGATGTGGTTTATATTTTAGATTATCAAACAGTTCTATCGTAAAGTTTACTTCGAACGCCAGGGTGGGAATTTCTCCCATATTGAAATCTATGACCAGCTGATGAAAGATCGTCATTATATTAACAATGAAACAGACAAGTTACAAGTGAATGAAACCGTTCTGGACGACTTGGCCAAGGAAATAGGATTTGACAAGACACTACTTATTGAAACATGGCAACTGGACTTACTTTGGTCAACAACTGTGGCTGCCTTTGTCCTGTTTGGTATGGTTGGTGCTTTCTCTTCTGCCAAGATCGCTGATTATTTTGGAAGGTGAGTTTGGTATAGAAAATAGTTGATGACGTAAGAGTGTAGAAATCAGGGCCCTATCCTGACTTGATTGTTCGGAGGGCAACACTATATCAGCAGTGAGGAAGTAGGGGTGGTCGTGGATCACACTGAAATTATAAATCAATGATTTAAAAGAGTTAGGGTTTACAAATAAGATGTCCTGGCCACGTATTCTCGAAACGATCTTAGCGTTAGGATATCCTAGGTACTAACACTGATTCTAGGATATCCTAGCGCTAAGATCGTTTCGAGATTACGTGGCCAGGAGCATCATAAAATCACACTGATTAACTCAAATAAGAGAAACAATTAATAAAAGTGACTTTGAGTCACCCTTTCTCCCATAGCTAGAGGTATGGTAGACGATTATTTAACTGTTATGGAAGCACTGGCCATGGTCAGACTTGCGGATGATGATGTTTATTAGGGTATTTTATTATATTTCAGAAAAAAAGGCATGATGATAATCACCTTTATATTGCTGATTGCTGCTCTGTTTGGTGGAATTCCTACGCTGGCTGAATCACCAGAATGTCTTATCGTATCTCGTGTCTTCGTAGGTCTTCATTCAGGTAATTTGATTAGTTCAACATCATATTAAGATTAAGGGGTAGGGGCTGGATGCCTGACAGTGACATCACCTTTTTCAATGTTGACAGTCTTGACAGAAAAATGTATTTGGATAACATTTTGAATGAGGTTGCATCTGGCTACAAACTGTCAATCTTTAGCTTTGGTAGTCTGATTTGACTACTAAAAGTAGACAGCCCCATCGCCAGGAATGAATTGGCACTGGGGCTCAGATTTTTTGAACTGAAGAATTGAAGAATTGAAGAATTGAAGGCAAGAGAACTCGTTGCCCAAAACGTATCAAAACCCATATCTTTTTGATTTTTGGTCAAAATCACTGTAAATGAATCAATCTCTGCTGAACTGAAGAAGGTTTTGCTGGGGCTTAATTCTCACTTGCTGGGGCCCAGCCCCCACGGAAACCCACCCTAACAACGGGGCTGTTTGTATAAAGGATTAATATAGTAGACCGTGTATTTTATTTATTCTGTAGGATTAAATGTGAGTCTAGCTGCTCTGTACCTGGCCGAGATATCTCCGAAGAAGATACGTGGAGCTATTGGAACCTGTCATCAACTTGCTATAACTGTTGGAATTCTGGTTTCACAGATTCTTGGTTTAAATGAACTATTAGGTAAGTCATAAACAACATGTATAAGCGGGGAGCACATATAATGAAAACAATGGTGTAGTGAGGGTTTCATCGGGAGGCCATCTTGGCACTTTAGGGAATACGATAGTTTTTCCTCCCACCGGAAAATTTTATAATTTGCTTAGCTGAGATACAACTCACTTCTTTAGTGATAAAGTATGCAACCTTTCAACACAATTTACATGTGTGGTCATCAAATGAAATGAAGAAGGTCTTTAAATGACATTCAGTAATTGATTGCAAGATATATTGATATAGCTGACATTATGTCAAAGTTTGCAACTGACGTTAGATTCATTTCACCAGCTCTCGACCTTTCATGGAAATAATTCGAATGTATGGTCACATTTACCCTTTTCACATCAGGGGGTTGGTTTGGTCTATGCACATCAAAAATATTGAAAATTAAGTTTTTGAAATTTAACGTTTATTCATCTCTCTCATCTTGACTCAACTCTTACAAGCAGACTACATCTAATGAATAATACAGGGAGACAACTCTCTTAAACATAATATATAGTAATCAGACCACAATCTCATAGGGTGGCTCATGACAATCCCTGCTAGCCATAATAACCACATCATTAAACAGATCTATACTTATATTTTCAGGTACCAAAGACTTATGGCCATATTTATTTGCTTTCAATGCTGTTCCATCAATCATCTCTTTTTGCTGCTGGCCACTCTGCCCAGAAAGTCCGAGATATCTCCTCATTAAAAAGAAAAACGTGGATGACTCAAGACTAGGTAAGATTTGATTATCTAATAAAAATTTAAACAACATCATGGGCAATGATTGTATAGTAATGGACTCCTCAAGTGAGTAATAATATCAGGTGTTTCAAAGAGAGTAGGCGTGGTCTGCTTTGCACAAATGCCTCCCACTATTATTTAACCCTGAAATGGTGAAATATTTTCAAGATATTACTACTTTCGATTTATTTGAACTGTTACTGGCTACACCAATAGTTGATAAAAAGCTAAACTCACATCAGGAAATACCTTGATCTATGAATTAGAAAAGAATATTATTATTAGCCTACATATTTCTAATCATGGTGATCTGTTATGTTACTATTAAGACAGTCGTAGGATTGCTGAACCTGTCAATTTTTTAAGATAGACAATAACAGGGCATTTGCATCAGAGGGGTATTATGAAAATTTTAAAAAAACTAAGCTGCTTACTTAGCAATAAGTACACTCCATTTTTAAAAAAAATTGATAAAGTAGATAGGGAAAACAAAACACAAAGATGATTTGCCGCCACCCGTTGGAAGAGTTTTCCTTCAATCAATTCTATTATACATTTTGCAGCTCTTCAGAAATTACGAGGCTATGATGATGTGAATGATGAAATTGAAGAAATGACCATAGAATCAAAGAAAAATCTTCAAACCACCAATTTCTCCATGCATCAACTTCTGACAACTCCTGAACTACGTTTCCCAACTGTTATTGCTTGTCTTCTTCAAGTCACACAACAATGGTCTGGTATTAATGCTGTAAGTATCGCATCTGAGTCAGGGTAGAGTCTACATTAATACCATGACTACAATAGTCCCCTATACACGCATAGGCACATTGTTTACAATTCTTTCTGTCACAGGCTCTGATTGGCTGTGTTTTCTAGCGTCCTTACATTCTAAGTTATTATCATTCTCTAGGTTGTTAAAGGAGATTCCTAGTGGCTGAATGAAAAAGACACTTGTTTGCTAACCTGAAATTGCAGGCTTCAATGCTTGCATTGGTCAAGATAATGCCCTTTTTCAACCCAGTTTGTCCTTGTCAGTGATGTAGACTGGAGGAAAAAGAGTCTATATAATCGTTCCAATTAGACAATAAACTGAGGCGCTGTGTGATGTAGGATTTGCAGTCTGCATGTTAAACAGTTGGAAATTAAAAGAGCTTATGCCACTGTCCTGGCAAAATTCCCTCATTGCACACTGCATGGCGTTGACTGTCTTCATTAGCCCAATCAAGAACTGAAAAGTGTTAAATAAAACATCATTTCATTTCTTTCCCTACTGATATTTTAATATTTGTAATATCTGACGTTTTGTTGACCTTCAACCTCTTGACAACACAGAACTCTGGTGGTTTAAACTGAAATATCTTTCTTACAGGTTATGTCTTATTCTACGTTTATTCTGGCCCAAGCTCAAGTCCCAGCCTTTGCTATTGGATACGTCATTGTAGGAACAGGTGCCATCAATGTCATCTCGACTATAATAGCGGTGAGTACAAATTTTATAACATTATCCAGGCTCTCTAGTAATATCTCTTCATTAGTCCACCAGGTTGCCCACTGTCAATAAAGAGTCATGAATTATTTGGATGGGGAAAGAAACTAAGGGCCATATGCAGCGCTCGTACTTTACCTAAACTTTGACCAAAGTTAGACTTAAGTTGAACTTTAGGTATGCACCGGTCGATCTTTGCGAAAGTCGTGCTTAAATTTGACTATCGAATATAGAGAATGAAAGCCTTAATCCTAACTTTGTAAATTTCAACTTTAGCCAAAGTTCAACTTTAGTCAAGGTAAGAGCGCTGCATACGACCCTAAGGCTCTGTTTACCACAGTCTGTTCATGTTAAAAATTCTTCACAATTCAAGAGTAATACTTTTGTTTTTCTATTATACCCATATCCAGATCACAATGAAAAGTGTTGAATTTTACGTCTAGAATTACTTTACTTTTGTGACTTTTTCTGAAATAGAGAGAGTCAACTTAATTGATAGAAACAGATGCCTGTGTTCATAAGTCAGCTCTGTGTTATTGTTTGTTTAAACGATGATTCTTATTGTTTGTTGTAAACCACCATTCTTATTGTTTGTGTAAACCACCATTCTTATTGCTTGTATTCTCATATCTGGCACAGATCTACAAGTGAATTATCTAGAGCTGTATTTTGTTTTGTATATATTGAGCTGTATTTTGAAGAGATTGTATTTTGAAATTTCTGTTTTTCAGGTTCCATTAATGGAGAAGCTAGGACGTCGACCACTGTTGTTATGGCCAATGGGTGTCATGGCCGTATCTTTCTTATTGTTAACCATCTTTATTAATCTTGTTTTTGATCCCGAACTTGAACAACATCATTCTGCTTTCGCTTATACTAGTATAGTTTTAATGCATCTTTATGTTATAGGTTTCGCTTTAGGTTTAGGTAAGTCGGTGTTTATTTTAGTCAACATATTTTTGAAAATGTTAAAGGCGTAGTTTTTCAAAAGAAACATTGGACATTGCTTTGTGAGATACTGAGGTGTCAAATCTGCTTCAGCACATGGAAATTAAAAAGAATTCCCTTCAGGTCCCCATAGCCAGACTTGATTATTCGGGGGTGGAGCAAGTGATATATATCTAGAGGGGCAAGTAATATATCCCAAAGGGCAATAGTGTATGTTTATTATTCATTAATTATCATATTTCTGTTTGTATTTATTTCAGGTCCTATCCCCTTTATTCTAGTCTCGGAGGTCTTCCGTCAGGAGCCACGAGCTGCAGCCATGAGTCTTTCCACTGCTTTTAATTGGATTTGTAACTTTGTTCTGATGTTAGCTTTCCCTTTCTTGAAGGTAAATAATTTTAGATTTAGTCTTTGACTATTAGCATCGTGAAAGTACAAATAACAAACATTAAACAACATATGACCATCCCTACCTAACCTTAACAAAGTCACTTAATTGCAATCTTGACTATCAAAATGGCTTCACGCTTCAAGAAAAACGAACCAACTAGTGCACAAAGACAATACGCTCTGTGATGTTGCAACAACCCAACTGGGACTTCGTTAGGAGACAAGGGTTAATTAAAGTAAAAAACATGCCCAAGTTTTTAGGGTTAGGGTTGAGTTTTGAGGGACAGGGTTTAGTCTTGAGGGACAGGGTTTAGTTTTGAGGGACAGGGTTGAGTTTTGGAGGGACAGGGTTTAGCTTTAAGGGACAGGGTTTAGTTTTGAGGGACAGGATTTAGTTTTGAGGGACAGGGTTTGGGGGCCCGGGTCTAGTTTTGAGGGACAGGGTTTGTTTTGAGGGACAGGGTTTAGTTCTGAGGGACGGGGTTTAGATTTGAGAGTCAGGGATTAGTTTTGAGGGACAGTTTAAGTTTTGAGGGACAGGGTTGAGTTTTGAGGGACAGGGTTGAGTTTTGAGGGACTGGTTAAGGCAGGAAAAGAAGGGTTCAGGTGTGATGTCTGTTGCAGTGTTCATAAACTCAGTGAAAACTCTTTCAATGTCGTTATATCCTATACCTTGAGACATGTTTAGCACTTTATTTGATATCTTTTATATTACAGGCGGGGTTAGAAGCCTATACATATTTATTGTTTACCATCGTCTTGGCACTGGCCATTGTTTTCATCTTCTTCTTCGTACCAGAAACCAAAAATAGAACATTTGATGAAATTTCTGCGTCCTTGATGTTGGGCCGTGCCTCTGGTAAAAAACGTTCTCTCAACATCAACGATGGAGAGGAACTACAACCAATGGGACAAAAAGTTTAAAGATTGCCAATTTAGGATATTTTTGAAAATTTAGTAAATGCATATTGCATTATTTTGTGGTGTTCCTTAAAGAGGGTAATTTAACCGTGGGCTTTAAGTTTGAAGCTTTTTACAAGGGTTTGATTGGTTGGTTGGTTGCTAGGTAACAAATATCCATGTACAATAATTTGATTGGTGTATGATTTGAGATTATTTGCCAATCAGGGATGAATATATACTTTCAAAAATAATAATTGTGCTTTTTCTGGATTTTTGTCTTAAAAACCTTCATATTAGGTTCTTCTGTCCCAAATTGTGATTTAGAAAAAAACAAAACAAATTGGAAACCAAATGAAAATCTAAAACTAAAAGATGATAGTTCATGTATTATTCAAAGTTTACAATTTGAGATAGTTTATTTGGATTGTAAATGTAGAAATGTAGTATTTTGCTGGCAAATCAGCATCCCAGAGTTGTGATTCCTAAAATATCTCATGATAAATTTAGATTTTTTGAGGAAAAAGGAGGATGGGTCTTGTTTCACATAAAAATCTTATCATCAATTTAATGTAATTACAGTATTTTTTCAATGTAAAAGTCAATACTTATGACAAATTCTTATCAGGAATTATTTTGTGAATCATGCCCGCAAATTTACATGTATCTATAGTCAATTTAAAATGGATTATTGCTCCAAGGAGCAACTTTTAAAAATTCAAGGTCAACCATGACTAATTTTTAATAATTGTTAATAGACATCCTTGAATATTTTGTTGTGTTAAGATGTATTTGTTAATTATAAAATTAAAAAAAAAAATTCCAAAAAGATCAAGAGTTGACTCAACTTATTTGTGATCATAAGACTGTAGTGTTCAGGAAGGTTACATGACAGTGCTTTTAATATTGATGTTATTGATATTGTTATAACTTTATAAAGTCTGTTACTTTCAACTTAAAATGAAATATTATAGAACTGCAAAGAATTGAGTCATTATTGTGCTGCAAAACAAATAGACTGATGGTTTTATGATGTTTTGGAAGTTGCAAAATTCGAAAAAAATAATTTTTTCTTGACTTTTTTGGTATTTCAGTCAAAAAAATATCTTTTTTTTAGTGAAATTGTTAATTGAATGCGCTTTTGATGATATTTAACATGCATTTTCTGTTATGCTTTTATTAATTTAGTGCTATATTATATATTGAGTTTTTAATCTGTAAATTTTTTGAAAATTATTTTACCAATTGTGGCTTGATGAATATTCAAATGTATTTAAGATTTTAACATGATTTATGTATATATAGTTATAAGTTTATATAGCATTTAAAACACTTGGCAATATCTTGTGTTGTAATATTGATATTTGTTGTTGCTGTGTTCGTAATGGTTTACTAGACAAGATAGACACAATTCATTATCTATCACAATTCACAAATCATTATTTTTTTAAATTATGTATAATTGCAAATATAGTGTACACCCCTTCTTACCCTACAGTCTATCAGAGATCACTTACACAATAGCAGACTGCCAATATTGACAGGGGAAAAATTTGAAATTATTTTTCACTGTCTATGATTCTTACCCCCTGGTTTGACAAGCTCTTTTTAGGGTATGAAACTGTGCACTATACACACAAATATACATTACTTAAAGTGTAATAAATATTTCTGTTAATTAGCCTCCTCTTTGATTAATAATAATTATTGTCTTCCACGGTCACATCATAAATTTATGAGAATCAAGAATATTAGCCATCTGAAGTCTCCAAATAGGATGTTGAGTTTACAATCAGTACCATCCCAAATATTAAATATTGTTAGCTTTGCCTACTGCCAGTAAGAGTCGACAAACTTATTATGACTTAGATTGGAGGCCTTGGTTCGATTACTTTTCTTATCTCCCATAATGTATTATTTGACCCAGTTAGAAGCTCGGGTCTGATCCTTGCTATTTGGAGAGTCAAACTCAAGTTAAAATGGCCACAAGGAATGCCTATATATGGTTTAAGGAGTCACCATATTGCCTATACTTGATCAAGTTCGATCCTCACTCGACATGCACATGGATGATATTTATTTATTTATCTATGACGACCACAGGGGTTCAATCAAAGTCAACCAAAGTGGCATCACATCAGGTATTCTAGAAGAGTGAGCATACTAATATTTTAAATGTTGTATGTCGTAAAACATGTACTGTTCATCATTGCCAAATTGTATTAGAGTATTTTTATCAAAATGCAAATCGACTATTTAAAATTTAGGAGAAATTTTAAACAAATAATATAAAATGGTGCTGTAACTCATATTCTTCATTTGTAAATTATTTTAATTCATTGTATTGGTTGTGTTGTATTTTATCAAGACAAACCAAAATAACGACTGGAGATTTCAAGAATTTAATATATTTCTAGCAGAAACAATTTGAAATTGACAAACTTTTCTAGAAATAATATCTCTTAGAATGAACATGAAATTTAATTTATGACTTACCTTTATAATTTTGTATAATTAGGTAAGTTCTATAGATGAAGATGAAGCCTACTCCTATTGGCCTAGTTTGAAGAATTAAATTTTATGTTCATTCTAAGATGTTGTAATCTTTTATTTCAAAACAAAATGACTCTTATATTCTGCATGTGACATGAAACGTGTGAAGTTTTTCTTGATACAAGAACATCATACTTGCAAATATTTTTGGAAATGGCATTTTGAATTGATATTGTCATCTAAATAAGTTTATGTCAGCTATCCATGTCCCTTTTTAGAAGGAGAACTGGACATCTAGTTCATCTGCAATATCTAGATGACTATATCCTTTCAAAGAGAATTGTGTAAAAGTCTGCTTCAGTGAGTAAAGTATTGGCTTGACAAAGAGTTAAATAAAGTATATGTATAATAGAATAAATAATATGTATATAACATGATATTATTGTGTGGCTTGATTGTTAGAAATCGTATACTAATGATGAAATATTTACGCCAAATTCTAAAACATTGCTGATTGTGTTCCAATTTTTTTTAAATGTGTATGAAATTTTTAACCTTTTGCTTGTAGTTTGTGTCAATAAATTGGAACAGAAATTATATTTCAAATGTTTTTTTTTTATTAGAAAAGGATTATTTTGGATAAACTGTACAAACACCAAATGGGTTCAAATCAATTTGAAATATTTTCACAGTAGCCAAAGCTTATGCCAAATCTTCTAAAATTAAAGAATCACTTGTTATATATTGAAATTTGCTAGTATCTTAGGTTACCATGAGCACAAGAAATATTGAGTTGACAAAGTTAGAAACATCATAGGCCTATTATCCAGTCTTCAAGGCTGTATACCAAGTGATGGAGTAATTAGATATCTAATGCTTTATTGTATATATTTGAGACTGACATGGTATTTTTCAATGATTGTAATGAATAAGATTTTCCATCTACAGTGTACTCTGATATCAGAAATCTGTGTATTCTGACATTTAGCATACAGCTGCAAATAAAAGACATATGGTGTTCTGTTCAATGTAAGGTGCGGAATAATCGATACAAACGAAAATAGAAGAAGTGAACATATAGGTATAGGTTTCGGACACGGTGCGGACACGATTTGTTTCTTGTATTTTCTTCGGTATCGATAATCCTGCACCGTACACCACACCAGACACCCTGCCTCGTTTATTCACACCTTAATCCAATATAGTTTTTGGGTCTTGATTGATTGCCTTCTTTCAAAAACTGTAAAAAAATGTGATACTGTCAGTAATGGTATACTAGTGTATACTATATAACCTATATGATATAAGACTGGCTCTGTGAATGTTGAAATTTGAATTGTTAAGATTTATATTGTTAGTGTTATGGAATGAATTTGTTTGAACTTCTGTTGATTTTTAATTTAATATGAGTTTATTTTTTGATTTTCTATTGTTTGTTTGTTTGTTTGTTATATTAGTCCTAATAAATAAATTAAAGACAGATTTTACTATGTAAATATAGATGATGAATATATACAGAATCGTTCTGAAGTCAATAGATATATGACAATTAGAGTTTATTTTTTTGAATTGGCTTCAAAACATTTCTGTATCTTATTTTTAGGGAAATTATTTTGATTTTTCAGTGATTTCTAGTTTTATCTTAGTTGTGGACTTGTCAGAGAAAAAATGTAACATCACATCTTCTGTTTTTGGATTAAATTGGCCAATATACATCTACATGTCGTATCATGTCACCATAGCCAGTGCTTTTTTGGATGTTTAGTCTCACTTTTAATACCAAAGTGTTCAGCTGTTAAAAATGTAAACAACAAAATGAAGTAAACAAATGGCCTAAAATTATATAGAAGACACAATTTATTAATCAACTTACTACTTTGTGTGAATTCCACTCTCTTTTCTTACCATCAGTTTCAATAGTCCATTACCTATTACTACTAGTAAGAGTACAACTGACTTTAAGAAGCTTTAAAAATCACTGTTTAGTCCATGTTTCTTTAGCATTGGTATGATATTATCCACATATTCGATATTGATAATATAGGCTACTACTGTTTGGTTAAGAAGTATAGAATTGATATGATATATAGTCACTGTCTGGTTAAGAAGTATAGAATTGATATGATATATAGTCACTGTCTGGTTAAGAACTATAGAATTGATATGATATATAGTCACTGTCTGGTTAAGAACTATAGAATTGATATGATATATAGTCACTGTCTGGTTAAGAACTATAGAATTGATATGATATATAGTCACTGTCTGGTTAAGAACTATAGAATTGATATGATATATAGTCACTGTTTGGTTAAGAACTATAGAATTGACATGATATATAATCACTGTCTGGTTAAGAAGTATAGAATTGATATGATATATAATCACTGTTTGGTTAAGAAGTATAGAATTGATATGATATATAATCACTGTTTGGTTAAGAACTATAGAATTGATATGATATATAGTCACTGTCTGGTTAAGAACTATAGAATTGATATGATATATAGTCACTGTCTGGTTAATAAATTATGACAGATTGTAATTATAGTGTGTGTCGTAAATAATTATAATTGGTATTTAATCACATTATCAATATGTGTTCAATAAAACATAGAAATTATACTTATACTTAATATACTTATACTGGTAACTGATTTTATTTTATTCTACCAAGTTTTGGTTTATATCGTACCTATGCTTGATATCTGACAGTCCCTCGCTGAAAACAGACCTTTTATCAATTCTGTCATGTCCGGAAAATAGGGCCAAATCAACAGCACTGTGTTGTGTGGTGACAAATATACCCAGTGGCATAGCAAGGATTTCATTGAAGCACCCCAACATACCAGATTTTAGAGAGCATTAAATGTTATGGTGGGGATGTCAGAGTGTCTCCCCCTGGAAAATTTACCAGGCTGAACTTAGCCTACACATTCAACTAGCATACAGATTCGGGTCGAATCGTCTCAGCATACACATTCGCGGCAAATCGACCTGATATGAAATCTGAATTATTTCTAACTTAAATATTGTTAAAATAACTTCAAATTTTTTATGACAAATACACATAAGAATTCTTTCAATTTCGCAAACACCTATATGTCTGACTTTCTTAGTCTTTGTACTGTGGCCAATTTAATGTAATTGCCGGTAATTCCCTTTCTCTGCCCCACTTAAAAGATTTTACATTGGCTGGTGCACTTTTGTAATTGAAAATTTATGCTAATCTTGTCTGAAACTTGTTCATTTTCATTTACTTTTCTGTAACACTCATGTGCTATGATGCAGTGATGTGTCCAATTCGGTTATCAAA